TTTTTTTTTTATTTTTTGCATAAATTTTATAATTACATTTTTTTTTTTGTATTTAGTTTGTAAGGATTCAAGAAATCTAATTGATTATTAAACCGTAAAAAATAAAATAGAACAAATTGAAGTAATGAAGGCATCAAAACAAAGGAGATATTTTAAAAAATAGGGATCATCTTAAATAATAGTTCAAAATAAAATAAAATATTTGTGATGATACAAGAAAACATTTGTTAAAATACTGAAAATATTAAGAGAGAGAGAGAGAGGGGAGAAGACTGATAGTTTGGCCAATTCTGGACCAATAAAGCTAGAGCTGCAAACGAGTCGAGCGGCTCACGAGCCGCTCGCGAGCGCTCGAGTCAAAGCTCGACTCGAGCTCGAGTTTGACCGAACTCGAATCGAGCTCGAGCGGCTCGAGCACGAACTCGAGTCGAACTCCAGCCCATATTTTGCCTTGTCAAGCAGCTCGTCGAGCGGCTCGAGATACAGTTAAATTACTAAAAATACCCCTTATTATATATATTAGCACAGGTATTTAATGGTAATTTTACCTTTTCACTTAAAAATTTTCGAGTCGAACTCGAGCCGAGCTCGAGCATTTTGATTTCAAGTCGAGCTCGAGCTATTGCAATTTTTTATCGAGTCGAGCTCGAGCTTAAAAAATCGAGCTCGAGCAGCTAAAAAAAAACTCAATCCTGCTCGATAAGGACAGTGCTCGGCTCGGCTCGGCTCAGCTCGCTTGCAGCCATAATCAAGCTATCTAGGCCAAGACTAATTAATTAAATTTTTATTAAATTGATCTTGTTGTTTCATCTTCTAATTGTTATTAAAATTTTTAGAAAATAGGGATCATATTCTAATTGTTGGGCCTAAAATTGATCTTGTTGTTTCAGGCCCATTCCGAAAATTTGGATCAATTATTAAAAAATACTTCGATATTTTATCTAATTACAAAGGGACCCAATAGAATTCAAGAATTACAAAGAATGTATAGTAAGTTTTCTTACCATTTCTGTTGGTTTTATATCATATGAAATTTAATGATTATATTTTTATTGCATATTCGTAGTTATTATATTTTTACTTCATATTCATGTAAATCTCAATTTTATCTCATATCATTTTTTTTATAAATAATTTTTTACCTTTTTTTGAAAAAAAAAAAATGTAAATAGAAACGCAAAATAAATTAAAAAATATTTTTTCATTTATATGCTATCTGTTATAAGAGATGCTACTTGTAATGCACACTACACACACATACTTATGAACAATCAAGCTAAAAAAACCCAAAAAAAGAAAATATTATATTCAATTACACTTGTTTGGGATTATAAAATCTTTTATAGAATTTAGAAATCTTGGTATATTTATTTTCAAGAACTTCTAAAAATCTCAAGGTATTTAGTTGATATTTCAAAAATTCTTATAAAGTCTTGAGTTATTTAACTTATTTGAGTCAGATATTTGATAAGACTTTTTAAAATTGGTTTAGTTTCTAATATATTATATATTTAATAATTCACATATTAGAAAAATATTAAAAAAAGAATCAAAATATCCAGAAATGCTACAGTCCCGTTACGGAACGATTCCGTCAGAATTTGTAACCAATTAATCATTATGTACCTGCCGTAAATAATTGATCTAACGGTTACAAACCCAAACAGAATGGTTCCGTAACGGGACCGTAAAATCTCTCCAAACATATCATGCAAAATTCCAAATGACATGCCTATGTGGGCAGTGTTGTAATTATCTCAAAACCAAGGTTACTTTTTGTAAACACAACAAAATTGAAAATCAATCCCCAAAACTCAAAGAAATCGTACATTAGAATTCGCATCATACCTTCATTTTTTTTTTTCCCCTGAAACTCTTCAGCTAAGAACCTCGCTGAACCCAATTTCATAGAGAAGGTGAATTCGAGTCGTTTTCCTCGATCGGCCTAAAATTATTCCCAAATGTGCTTGTTTTAATGTCAGATTTTGTACATAGCTGTACATCTCTCTTTGATCTGTGTGTTCCTTTGTGATTTCTGTGTGAATTTGTCTGATTCAGGGTTTTTCTGACCCTTGCATTTGTGATGCCATTGACGCCTGATTTCCCGATAGATTGAAAAATGTGCTTGTTTCCATCTCTGAAAGTTGTAGTTTGTTTAATTAGTTACACATAGCTTTTGATTGATAAGTTCAGCTATCATTTGAAATTTGATGTTTCATTGCAAAGATGGTGTGAAATTTTATGTGTTTATGTACTCTAGCAGGTGTTTAATTGCCCTTTATTTATTTATTTTTTTTTTTCCTATAATGTGAAATGTGACAGCTGCTATTGGCCAAATTATGGAATTGAATCAAGGAACAGTGCTTTCAGTTGATGATGAGCCGAATAAAGAGTGTGATATTCAACCTGGAAAACCCGTTTTGATACCGGGAATCCCGGACGATATTGCCCTTTCTTGCTTAGCAAGAGTTCCTAGAAAGTATCATCCGATTCTCAACTGTGTTTCGAGGAGGTGGAGGGAATTGGTTTGCGGTGAAGAATGGTTTTCTTACCGGCTGAAGCATAATTTGGCCGAGACTTGGATTTATGCTTTATGTAGGGATAAGTCGGAGCAGCTTTGCATGTATGTGTTGGATCCCGAGCAATTGAAAAAGGGTTGGAAGCAGATTCAAGGCCTCCCGAGTCGTTTTTTGAAGAGAAAAGGTGTGGGATTTGAAGTATTGGGTAGAAAGGTTTACTTGTTCGGAGGGTGTGGTTGGATTGAGGATGCTACTGATGAAGTGTACTGTTATGATGCCTCGGCTAATAACTGGATGAGAGTTGCTTCACTATCAACTGCTAGGTAATTTATGCTGGGAATATGTAGTGATGGATGTGGTTTAGTAGTGAGAAAAGATATGTGCATACATTGTTGGCATTTTTTCTGCACCGAAAGGGGTGTTTCATAATCACTTTCAAATATATGTATTGTTTTCGTATGCTAGTTTTTCTTTCTTGATAATTTGATCATGATCTTGGAAAAGGGATGGCTTCTGCAATCTTATGGTTCATTTGCAAGATATCATTTGCAATCAAAATTGACCCTTCTGATAGGAGAAAGAAAGGAATGTGAGTTTGAAACTTTTGCAGAAACCGTCCTTAGAGATCTTTTAACTGCTCATGGTTGAGATATTTTGAGTTTGTGTAGCTGTTTATCGTGCGTATCACTATTTCCATCCACTCGTCCAAATGAGGCCCATCAAATTCGTGATCATTGTGAATACTTAACATGGATTTCACTTCATATTTAGATAGAGCTTGTAGTATAGCTGTGAGCTCCTTCCACTTGAATTTCAAGCACCCGTTACTTTTTTTATTATTTTCAACGTAGCCTTAGGAAACTATACTATTTGTTTATTTCCATGTCATTTTATCCAATTGACGAGAGTTTTTTTGCCGATTTTAGGTGCTTTTTTGCGTACGAAGCTTTGGACAACAAAATCTACGCCATTGGCGGGCTCGGGTCGAAATCAAGCGACCCGCATTCATGGGATGTTTATGACGGTTCCACAGACACTTGGTCATCTCATGTGGACCCGAACGTCATTCCGGATATTGAAGACTCTGTGCTTTTGGACAAGAAGATCTACATAAGATGTGCTATATCATCTGTAGATTCTCACGTATATGCCGTCGTTTATGATCCTTCGAGCGGAATCTGGCAACATGGGGACGATGTCGTGGCGTGTGGCTGGCGGGGTCCAGCTGTCGTGATCGACGGGAAGTTGTACGTTTTGGACCAGGTGTCGGGTTTGAGGCTGATGATGTGGCGGGAGGATGTTCGGGAATGGATGGCTGTGAGGAGAATATCGACCCACCTCGTTTTACCGCCCTGTCGGCTAGTGGCAATCGGGAAGAAGATTTTTGTTATAGGGAAGGGACTTAGTACGGTGATTTTCGACGTTGGGAGTGTGGGATCTTGTGTGGATGGTGTTTTGGTGAGTTATTCTGTGGGGAAATTGGGTTCTGATTGTGATGTGATTAGCTGCAAGTGTGTTGCTATTTGAGTTTCATCTTGTTTAAACAATGAAGATTATCAATCAAACTGCTGGAATATATCTTTCTAGAGTTGCATTAGCAAAATGCGTATTTATCCTGGAAAATAGCCAACGTAAAATCATGGATTTTAAACGTGAATCACGCACACTCACACATGTGTGTTGATCCAACGGTAAAAAAAAATTTCACGTAAACGGTGATTGTGGGTAAATGTGTGAGTCGATCCAGCGGTAAAAAAAACTTTCACATGACTATTTTGCACATGAAGTTTAGGAACGTAATTGTAATAACATATCTTTATGGTGTTGGCAGCTCGTGCCCTTCAAGAAATGATTAGCGCCAAAAGCCTTAAGATTAAAGTAAATCAAGTTCTTCTTATTTCAGTCAGTTATGTCTTTCTCAGCATACTGTTCATTATAATTACATGACAAAGAGCTATGAAATCAAAGTTTGGATCACTCTGGAATAAAAATATGTATATCTATGTATAATTTGAATCTCATACATTTCACATTGTTCAGGTAGTTGTTTTATGTTGCTTTTGTTTGTTATGATCAAACTATACTAATCAAGTATAGTAGTATCAAGTCTGGGTGGTGTAGTCGGTTATCACGCTAGTCTCACACACTAGAGGTCCCCGGTTCGAACCCGGGCTCAGACAACCTTTTTGTTATCATTTTTATTTTATTTTCTTTTATTTTTCCACCCTCACTATCTCCACTGTTATACTACTATTTTGAAATACTTTTGTTGAATATGTTAAAGACTTTTTGTTTTTGTATATGTTGTATTCTATCCAAAGAAGATGCTATTTGTATTCAAATTTTAGTTATTCGTGATCGTTTCTTCAAGGAACTTTGACGGTATCTGTTATGTTATTCGTTACAGAGCTTTGCCGGTAGCTCTGTATTCTTCTTCTTTCTCCGGATATTAGGCTGAATCTCTAACTAGAATTTAGCTGTTACTGAAATTTTCACGAGGCTAAAATTTGGCTCGTCTAAGCTAATAGGTATTCCATAGTGTAATGCAGCGGATATTATTCAAAATTGTCAGCAAGAATATGATGGTGCCATTATACTTTCTCCAATGGCATTCCTTCCCAATTCAAACCGTAGAGACCGTGTTATCAAAATCTCCAAATTCACGAATTCGTTTTAAATGGCGATCGAGCTTCCAAATTAATGATGGTTTTCAATGACGAGACGAGCTTTGATCCACAAACCGTTCAAGAAGCCAGGAACCAAAAACACGTTCTTTCGATGAAATAAGCTTACGTGAAATTGTTGAAGAATGGTGGTGGATGTTTTTCCGATTTTGGGTCGGTTATCGAGAAGAAGTGCCGTAGCATATGGGATATTTTTGAATGATTTGTATGTGATTCTTACTTACACCATGAGGACACTTTATTTTTTTTTCTTTTTGGTATTGCTGATATTGTGAGAATGACTGATTTTTTAACGAGTGTTTAATAGTCTGATTCATAGTCTCAGGTGATCTCCGTGCCTTTTGTTTCCCCGTTGAGATAATAACGGGTAGGAAAATCATGATCGGGATAGCGGATCAAAGGCTGGAAATCCGGGAGATCTAGGAAATCAAAATTCTGATTTCTGATCGACTAGCGACGATAGATTTATGAGGAAGAATACGCAAGCCCGATTTTGGATGATTAGAAGAATTTTGTACTGTTTTTGACAAAATTTAGTTGCAACATTTGATGAGCACAAGCACACATTACTAGTTTAGTGTCTTGTTCCCCCTTTTAATTATTTCCATCATTTGTTTTAAGGGTATGTATTCTACTAGTAGTTAATAAATAGAAGTAGTACACAAAAAGGGTCCATAGCTCAGTGGTAGAGCAATTGACTGCAGATCAATAGGTCGCCGGTTCGAACCCGGTTGGGCCCTTTGTTGTATAATTTTTTATTTTTTATTTTTTTTCCTCTTGTGTCTTTCAACATGAATTGCCTAATTTTTACTGCTTTTATTTTTCCATTTCTAGTTCGTAAAATTTCCTTCATTTAATGAAAAACATAATTTTAAAATATGATCACTATTTTGTTGTTTAATACTAAAGATTTCTAATTTAAAACAATTTTAAGGGACACAACAGTTATAAAGTTGTCAATAACACCAGCATTTTCCAACAGTAAATATTACCAGTAAAAGAAAATTGCAACAGAAATCACATTCTCCAGTTTTCACTCTCGTCTAACATCACCAAACAAATATAATTAAGTAGCATAAAACGTTATTGAAGTACACTTGGTCATCACATTTATAATTCTTGAATAATGTAAATTATAATTTTTACGGTGAACAACAAATGTGAAACTCTTGCAGGACGGTTAAAAGCGCCGCATGTCTTTGGGTGGCTTAAAATGAAGGGGATGAGTCTCTGGTGTCGCCATCTCATCCTCTTTCCACATTTTGATCGTCTTATCCGCCTCACAAGTAATCAGCCTCGAACCAGTTATATCATACGTAATCGCGTATATACCGGATTCACTATCCAACGAACCTAGCAAAAATAATAATAATAATTATAATAATAAATACAGCAAGATCGTGTTAAACTATTGCTGATGCTACTTTGAAAAACTACAGAGAAAACAAAGATATTGATATGTGTGTTACCGGGTTGTACGATTGTCTGGGCTTGCTGGAAATTGTGACCGCTCGTCCAGTCCCAGAACCACAAACTTCCATTGTCACCTAACGTAAATTTAAAATAGAATTTAACAAGATATTAGAATCATGTCGTGTTTTCTAAGACATTTCATTATTAAGTTTGCAATAGAGAAAAAAAGAAAAAAAGAAAAAAAAAACGACCTGCAGTGGCAAGTACACCCTCCTCGTTGACTGCTGCAGAATTAATAATAGTTTTCTGTTGGGAGCTGTAAAACGTGAAAAATCAAATCAGATCCTACTTTTCTGTTTCGTGCACTTCAGAAGATGAAAAAAAGTGGAATCGTGCATATAGTGTGTTATTAATGGGGATTGGTAAAAACAACCCCCATTTAAGCAATAGTTTAATATAGAATATGATTGTTTACAAAATAAGCTAGATTATAGGTTATTTGGTTACCTTATAAGTTTCTGTATTAAAAAAAAGCTTTGTTTGGTAGGACAAACTTTTTTATAAAGCTCGAGTTTATCTCATACGCTGGAGATACACTTCTTTAGGTAGTTTTTCAAATAAGCTCATTGAATTTTTATTTCAGTTAGTTTATCAACTGATGTTACCAAATATTTTTATATGTATCAAAACTAGTTTGTCAACTATAAGCCACAAGTTATAATCTCGAAAATCACTTATAAGCTATGAGCTGCTTATCAACTAGTTTTACCCAACATAGCCATAGCCATAGTGTGTTATTAATGAGGAAGCTCAATGTCGATTCGTGATGACTCACAGCATATTGTGCATGAATTCCCCCTTTGGAAGTTTAAACTTTTTAATGTTCTCAGCAGATGCAGATACAAAACAGTCCCTGCAAAGGCACACAAGAATGTTCAGGTACACAATTAAAGTATGAAATAGAGATGATAGCCAGTGTAAATTGATATTGCAGAAAACGAAAATGCCTACTCCTTAGGATGAAGAGCCATGGCCCGCACAGATTTCTTATGATGTGTGAGAGTTGCCATTGTTTTACCTGCCAAATACAATCACCTCCACTTAATTGTTTAAATTAAAAAGACAAAAAAAAAAGAAAGAGAATATTTAACATTAACCAAGAGGAAGATTTTCCTTCCCCATAAAATATTACCGTATCTAAGGTCCCATAGCTTTATAGTTGAATCATGAGAACCTGTTATCACTTGTGGATCCTGCAAAATGTGATCATGTCACTAAGTCTGACCAAAAGAAACTATCAAAACAGCTTATAATTTTTAAAAATCTAAGTAAGCACAGGTCAGATTTGGAGTTGTTATAATTAACCCATTGATTAAAAACAAAAAGGATGCTCATAACACAAGGTGGAACCATAATGTATTAAGAAGGCAGGGAAACAGCACGGTTGCAAAGTTAATTGATTTTTTTTTTATTTTTTTCCCATGGCGAAGCTCAGATATACGTGAGAAATCGTTATTTTCCTTGAACCCCTCACAAAGAAAAGTGTCTCATAGAGCTGGGATTAGAAGTTCTTATCATCACTGCCACACCATTTTCACCATCCAATAAATCAAACCATATAAATTAACGGAAAATCATACCGACAAAATAAATACTGCTCAAATGCCAAAGTGCATGGACAATTTACTGAATATAGAATTAAAGCTATTCTCTGAATATTTATTACTTCTGCAAATGAACTTGATCATAAATAGAGAAATTACTGAACTAGCCAATGCATGTTACAAACTTATAATACAGGACAAACTTCACAAGAGCTGATGTATTAAAACTTTAAAATTCCCCATGCTCTAAGAGATTAAAACAAGAAATTTAATGTCCAAGTCAACCGTAAGTCATCCCAGAAGGACCAGAGGCAGAGGTAGGCAGGGTTGATGTGAACAGGGATATATTCAGTTATTGGACATAATGCTTCAGAGCTTAAATAAGCACTCACTGTAGGCCTTGTGAAGACTGAACATACTGTATTCTCATGTCCAGAAAGTGCATGAATTTGCGTTTTGCTGCGAATATCCCACACCTTAAAAAACATCAACAGGCAAACCAACTTAGTATTCCATGTCAAACTTCATAGGCTTCCTCAATTCTCGTCAGGACACACACACACACACACACAAGAACATAATATCAAAAGAATGATCCATACCCGACATACGGAATCTCGTCCTCCAGTAAACAAAATGTCAATAGTGGGATGAAGAGCCAAGCAATACACACCACTAAGATGACCATGATAAGAACGAATAACCTGAAAATGGAAGGAACAACATTAATAAAAATCGGACTTGTTTCAGATGAAGCAGCTGTTCATTTGAGTTACTAACCTTATTCTGCTCTAGGTCCCAACATTTTACTAATTTGTCATCACCAGCGGAAAACATGTATGTGTGCTTGCTGCTAACAGCTAGACCTGCCAGAAATAATTATTTCTTTCGTCAGATGATTGAGAAATGTGTATTATCCTGGGAAATAAAGAAAGAAACAAAGAATTACCTCGTACTTGGTCAATGTGACCAGTAAGTGTCAGTTTCAGGCGGCCACTTGCTAAGTCCCATATCTAACCACCAGAGGACTGGAATTAGAACACAGAAATAAAAGGGAAACCAAGCGAAACTGACACAAAATTATAGAAATGCAGGAACAGATTTTATTGACATGTAGAACCAGGGTCAGTTTATTATCTTATGATAAATTGTGCATCGACAAAAGATCATAGTCCGCTAAAACAATATTCACATATTACATGACCTCTGTGGGTGAATTCAGTAGGTTCATGGTGTCTAAGTAGTGCCATTTCCATGGCTACTTTTTCCGTTAATGCTTTCAAGAAACAAACTTAATTTCAAACCTTGATTGTTCGATCAGCAGACCCTGTGCAAAACCAATTATTACTTGGGTCAACAGCAACCGACCGCACCCAGCCCAAATGGCCACTAATGACCTACACAGGTAAGTGCTTGCAATATAAGAACAGAATTGTGGTAGCAAAAGTATCACTGGAGCCTGAGGGGAAGAAAAAACAGTAGCACACAAAACAATCAATCAATCAACAAGCCGTTAAAATTCCACTAAGTGGGGCCGGCTATATGGATCACATGTCGCCATTGTGCTAGATCAAAACAATAGCACACAAGACATACAAAAAAAATAATGCATTGGGCAATATCCTACTTTTCTCATAACAACCCATAATAAAGAAGTCAATTCTGTATTCCGCTTTATGACTTAGCTGGATAGCAAATCGGGGTAAATTTGTCAATGGAGTATGGACATATTGGAACATCCTTGAATTTATACTCGAAACCCCAAAAACATGATGATGCACAACCACGTGAAATACAAGGACATACCGACAAAGTGATACAAAGGTCAACGCAGTCCACATAACTAAGGTTACATAAGCAACAGTCCTTAGTGTCCATACACGAAAATGCATACATATAGAAATTTATCATGGTTTAAGTTCCAGATTTTTTTGCAAGAAAATGCATACATATAGAAATTCTTCATGGCTTAAGTTCCATATTTTTTTTTTAAAAAAAAGTTTACGGCAGCTTCTCACTCTATAATTCTTCCACGGTGCATGCCATACAGGGCGAGGCCATCTACTTGGAATTCTCTCCATAATGGCAGAAGTAGACAGATTCCTGAGCATCACAAACAAATGAGATTTCTTAACATGCACTGGTCAAAATCTACCATATGTGCTGTAACTACAAGCCGTCAAATATCAACCATTATCCATGCTATAATCTAGCTCTTGATGTTGAAGAGGGATAATAAAGATATGGAAAGATGAAAAGGTAACTGACAGAAAATGAAGGAAGCAGTGGTACCATGTTTAATAAGTTAGAGAATTAGTGGGAACATTTTTTTTTAAAATAATTTCTGTAGCTAGTTCTCTCTTTTACTAAAGGCAGACAAGAGAAAGTGGTATACTACTTCTAAGATTAGCCTACACGGCAAATAAATGTCCACTAAAGCTGCAACCATAAGAGTTCCAGAAAGAAACAAGTAAGTGTCGAGTAGAATACCTTCCAGATGACGCAGGGGCTGGAACAATTGAAGTGCTCCTTCCTTGAACCCCGTCATCGGTGCTGCATAAAATTTTACAGAAACGCATTAAGTTTTCACACCTTGAAAGAACAAAAATAAGAACTATGCTACTGCATTTTGTGATTTACTAGTCAGATATTTAACGTTATGAAATCCAAAATTGCGCGAATAATGGTTTGATCTTCTATACTCATATATGCATGATTACCTCCCCCAGAAAGGGGATTAGTCATCAGATGACAACTACAAGAAATATATAACATCCAGAGAAAAAAACTGGTAAAATGTAACACACACCGCCCCTTAGATTGCCCGGTCGAACTAATCACCAAATCCTTCTGCAACCCTCCTTTCTGTATATTATTTGAATGTTCAGGGCCTGCCAAGGAAAATTTATCCACATATTCGTTATCATGATTAACCGAGTGGGAAAAGAATTAAGGTGCTTCTTATGTCTACCAGGATATGTAACATATCCTTTGGATATTGAGCTCATATGCACATCATCCTCAGTTCTATAACTCAGTACACTGCATATCTAGTGATGGTGATGGAAAATATACTACTCAAATGACAAATCTTCACCAATTCAGAGTTAATAAATTTGAACACCAACACATCATTTAAGGTTAGGTATCTTGCAATACCTGGAAGTGCCAAGACATTTGAGGTGGTAGAAGTCTGCTTTGCTCGACTTTTTGCAGCTGCCACACGAGCAGAACTTTCGGTTGCCACATTTTTCACACATCCATACTCACCATTTAGCTAAGAAATCAACCCAATATAACATTGATAATGAAAAAATTATAAATAACCAGTATTTGCTAAGAGAAAAACTGTACCAAACAGCATATGAAAAATTATGAGTTTCAGTAGCCTGGGCGATGCATTACGCTGCCTCAACATGTCGTTTCTTTAATTTATGTCGCTCAAACACAAATTACTCACACAAATAAAAAAGTGAAACCCAAATGCAGCATTGTGCATAATCACACAAACATTGTTTCAACACCCTTCTCTTCGACTAAAATCCCAGATTAACATAAAAAAATTTAATAATAATACAAGAACTGAAGATGCAATAGTTAGAACTCACCTTATGACTTACTCGAATCTTCTTACTGCAAAACAAACAAGAAACACAACATTCAACCAAAATAAGGGCTAACTAGGATACAATGTGACTATTGAATCACCTACTGAAACTGGAAAAGAGTAATTCAAATCGTTAGAGCTAAAAATCATTTGAACACTCTAGAATGCTCGAGTTTTAGGGCTTCAAAAAAAACCTTTCCGTATCAGGCAGCGGCAATTGTCCGTGGGTAGGAGAGAATAGATCCAGAGCTCTCTTCAAGGATTTGAAGCTCAGCTTCTTCAGCGACTGTGGCTCCACGGGCAGCTCGGAGTCCATCGTTGCCCCTGGCATTCCTAGATTAGTGTTCACCTATAGCAACGAATATCCCGTCAGGATAATTTAGGAAGTGAACTTCTAACTGAAGGAACTGCGCTGCCGCTCGGGGTCGGTGGCGACGGACGGCAAGACGGCGGCCGTGCGGGGCAGGTAGGAGCTTCGACTGTTACAGACGCAGCTGATATTCTTCTGGTCTTTTGGCGGAGTAAAATCGGCGGTCGGGTCCGGTCAAGTTTGGATATAACGAACAATCCGATAATGGGCTGCCAAATAGGGTGTGCGTGGGTCGGTACAGTTTGAAGATTGATAAATTTCTATAACTGTTTGGAGTCCCAAATTCGATCTCCATAACCGTACCAAAAAATCGGTTTGGTTGGGTTCGGAAATTTTTATTTTTCGGTTTGGTTCGGTTCGGTATTCGGGACTATTGGGACGGTTTGATTCGGTATAGTTTGGTTCGGATCTTCGGAGATTTTTTATCTTTTTAAATTATTAATGACTACCTAGTTCTATTTTAATTTTTATATGCTTTTAAAAAAAATAACATTCATCGATAATTCATCATATTGAAGATTTTATTTTGAAATCAATTCTATAAGTAACTCTAAATTTTTTAGTTATTTAATTTTTATATACGTTAGTAAAACCAACATTCATCAGTATTTCCACACATTAAAGATTTTATTTTGAAATCAAATTTATAAGTAACTCTAAATTTTAGTTATAACTAAATTTGTACAACTAATATTGACAATTTAAAATTCAAATCAAATATAATATTTTTTTCTTAAAAAAATATTCTTTAAATTTTCATATTATTTTCAATAATTATTTTATAATAGAAAAATTTAATTGTAGATTGAGTATTACTAAGCACGTGAACTATCGCGATTTTAATGGCTTATAGTTCGACTATATTTTTTTACAGACAACTATACAAATTTCACGTTTTTTTTCATCTTGCTCCTTACACTGAATATAAAGTTGTACACCGAATATAAATGTTTTTTTGACCTAAAAGAAAAAAAACTTACTCTTGGGTACAATTTAGTATATTTTTTTAAAATGAAGATAATGGAAACATGCTCTTGGATGATGAAGTCATGTAGCCTGCAGCTGGTACTTCATTGGTCCCTCCCCAGTTTTTGGCAGCTGGTACTTCATGGATTTTTCGTTGCTTACCTCTTCGAGGCGACAATCGGCCATTTTCTTGGTTAGCTTTTGGATGCTCTGACATCTCCAACAATGTCATCCACGGCCCCACTCGAACCCTCCTTCTTCTTTTTCTTCATGGGGATCGAAAACGTGCTCGGCTACCCTGTCGGAGCCACCGGCAACCTCCACCGTCATCTCCCATTCGCGACAGCAAATCGACGCGAGCGACGACAGCGTGCACATATTAAAGCGTGCTTCATTTTGCACGCCGGGCTCATTGGGCTAGTCGTGGGTTCTGTGGCGGGCCTCGTCGGGGAGGAGCTTGTTTGACCTCGATCATGTGGTCCTTGTCCAGTGACGGGTGGGGACGATGAGCGAGCCCTATTGTTTTTTCTCGTAGCCAATCTACACCACCCGCTACCGCGCTCCTTATCCGATCCACAAACGTAAAGATCCTCCTCGAATTGTAGAAACGGCAAAGAGAATCCACCGATGAACCAAACTCCTTCTATGAACAACTGGCTTGTCAGTGGGAAGAGGTGTTGCGTTGCCGCCCAAACGCCCCTCCCAGTCCCCCTCGAGCGCGGCAGCGAGTATGAGCGCGATCAGGAGGCACAGACCGGTCGCCCCAGCAAAGGCGACGTACATGCCGAGGGAGGGAGTTTCCCGACCGAATACTAGAGGATTTGGGTGGTGGGAGGCGGGCAGAGATTATTTTTAAAATATCAAATCAATATATTTAAATATTATTGATATTTAAATATTTTAATATAAATTTATAATTCTACTAACACTAACTATAATTTTTTTTTTTTTAAGTTAACTATGGTTAAAAAAGCCAATCAAAACCCAAATTCATATCCAACCACATTCTGAAAGAATCTTCAAGTTCATTGGGAACAATTACATTTGATGAGTTTTTAATTTTTATATCATAACTATTAAGAAAAGTTAATATGGCGGTCCATACTTAAAAACACTATTTTCAAGCATGATAAGCTAGATGTTGTTATCACAAGAAGGGAATGTGAATATTTTTTTTAATGTCGAAAAAAAAATTAAAATGTTGTATTTGAAAAAAAAGATTATATTGCTATTTGACCAACTTTGGTGACAACTTGAATTACAACACAAGTGTAAATGTATTATCACGAAATTATTAAATAATGCATTTATAATGGTGTTGTAAACCAAGTTGTAACTCAAATTAGCTTTGTAGCATTATTCCAAAAAAAAAATATCAACAAGTTATACTTCCCATTTTTATAATTTACTTTTGTTTCTCGACATAATTTTTTAAAAATATAACCATGTATTGGATTGGACGGTAACAATTAGACATGATCAAATCGATTTTCGGCCAAGGATCGACTAACCAAGAAACGGCCAGAACACAGTCACGGGTCAATTTGGTGAACCACCGATTCTAGGCTATCCCGCTCTACCAAAAGTAAATAAATAAATAATAATAATAAGCTAATTATATAAAAAAAAATGGGCCAAAAAATGGGCCAAATCGTCGATTTCACTTCCAATTCAAAACCGATCAACAATGATTCAAAGAGCACGTATTTGTCGTTCGGAACGGGCTCAATCAAACCACAATCTCATTTCAAGACTCATTGACCACGGGTCAATTATAGACCGGTCCAGCTCGTGGCCATGTCTACCAAAAACACTATTTTTATTTTTAAATTGTGGACAACCAATATAAAGCCCAAGGGTTCGCAACTCCTCGTCGTCCCACTTTCGACAAAAAAAAAACCCTAATTTCCTCAAGCTTCAACTCTCCGTCAACCACTCGGTCCGGCAACCGGCCGTCGCCTGAATTTGAGCTCTGTGAATCGCTAGGTTTTGAAAAATTTCATTTCCGTTCACGTGTGAATCAAATTAGAAGCTCCGTAAACATGTCGAAGAAGAACGATTTAGCTCGAAGAAAAAGGCTTCACGACTTCGATCTCAGAAGTAATTTAATTTATCCATCTCAAATGTTAAATGTTCGAATGATGTTATTTTTTTTTCGTGTGCAGATTATCAGTATCAATTTTTTGCAATTTTTATCTTGTTTATTATCCGTCTCCTCACCCCTGCTATGCTATTGGATTCTGTTTCAATCAGAAGAAAAAGAAGAGAAGGAAAAGAGGGAAAAGAAGCTTCAGGCCAAGAAAAACAAGATGAAAGTTGTAATCTGTACTCTTATCTGTATTTTTTTGTGTTTTTTTTAGCTTAATTCGTTGAATTTGTATATGAACAAGTAATTTCTCCTTGTAATTTTGTGTAGTATGATTATATGATATGATAATTGTGTGTATGTGTATGTGTGTGTGTGTGTGTTTTTTTTATCAAGTTTATTGAATTGAATTTGTGGATGACTAAGAACCCTTTTCTTCTATAACTAGGTTGATGGTAGCAGCAGTAAAAAGAAGAAGGGTGGCAGTGGATTTCAAGTAGGGAAGAAGAAGCTGAAAACGAAGCTGACGCCATTGGCGAAAGCTAAAGCTGCGCAGGCTATGGAGGTCGACAAATGAGGTTATTATGGAACTGATTAGGTGAAATGGGCCGTCTTTTATAGTGCAATAGAGCTAGATGTTGTTTTTCTTTCATATTGTAGCTTATTCGCTCTAGTTATCGATGATCTTTTGTGATTCCAATTCAAACAGCTCGTTACATTTCAATCCTGGTTTTTGGTTCTGAGTAGTGATTTCTGTCGATTTACAATCCCCCGAGGGAAATTCAATTCGTGCTATTACATTTTCATATTATCTCCTCAATCAGAGTTAATTGAGTATGGTATTGGGTATGACCACATTATATACGTAGCCGGGTTATGAAAATATTTTTCATTGTTTGGTTAATTATTTCTCCTGGGACTTGACACATTGGGACTTGACACATTCCCTGACAGAAAGTTCTTGCTATTACATGTTCATATTAATCTGAGTATGGTATTGGGTATGAGCACAATATACATGGCAGGCTCATGAAAATCATTATCATTGTTTTGGTTATTTCTTTCCCCAGTGGTTCTTTCTTAACCATCGACTGATCGAAGATATGACCATTGCTTGCTCGTGTTTCTTTTGCCTACATGTGACGTCAAGCGGCAAAAAAAGAAACTTTCATTCTCTGTTGTCCATAGTTGAAGATTTTTTCTGTTTTTCTCCTTTTTTTTTTTCATTCAAAGTAAATGTATTCGAGATAAGATTTGGAATAACATGATCATGATCGTTTCCATTCGGGATTCAAATTGCAAACGGACCCCAGAAGTCTTTGTCAATTACTCAATAATGGACATGCCACCATATGTGGGATGTTATCAAACTTGCCTTGAGGATTTTGAGATGAGGATCACAGGCCAATCACTCTTTGTGTTTTATCTTGTAGGACAAATTCAACAGCCACTGAATAACATTTAATCAAGTTGTGTATAAACTGGATGTCTATATGTGTATATATTTGTATTCTCAGGTTGCCATCATCAACTACTGCAAAATACAATTGAATGTCTCTGAAAGTTGACTAAAAGATTCTGGTAAATCCCTTTGAAATTACCATAAAGACTTTTGAGATAGATTTTGAGAAGTATATAAAATCAGTGGAAAACTACTACTTATTTTTTTTTTCACATTTTAATTTAAAATGCAACTCAACTTTAATCTAACCTAACTCTCTCTTAATAATACCAATAATTATTCTTACGCATCACTTAAAATTTAATTCACTATTCCTTTATGTACATAATTTTATCCATCTATTATTTCAAATAACATTTTTTTTTTTTTTACACTAAATCAACTTTAATCATTATATCTTAAATATTATTCAATACAAACTCAAAATATCACTCAATTAATTTTATTTAATATTGACTCACTTTAGCTCAAAATTCAATTAATATCGTATTTGATTTACATCCAATCGCTCCATTGATGAGCCATTTCACAAGTTAACAATTTAATGCACATTTGATTTATTTTAACAAGTTAATTAATGTTTAACAATTTAATATACATTTGATTTATTTTTTAGACAGCAATAATGAAATATTACATTTTTAAAAATTTTGGGATCAAACCTTGCATAAACCGGCAAAACACCCTACATTTTTTTTTTCTCAATAATATGTATACGTTTTCTATTAAAATGTACAATTTCTAAAAATGATAAAAATAAAAGAATCCATACAATTTCTTTCTATCCTCGTACGTACCTTAAGAAACGCATGATTGCATCTTTTCCTTCCTACTCATCTTATTATCACATTAAACTACATGGAATTGTATATAGAAAAATGCTACAGTCCCGTTATAAGACTATTCCGTCGGAATTTTTGTAACCGTTAGATTATCATGTAACCGTCGTGAATAGTTGATCTAGCAGTTACAAACCTTGACGAAATGATTCCATAATGGTCGTAGAATCTTCATTGTATATATTAACTTTAAAATATTTAAAAGAAATATAATAATATATTTTTCAGAAAAAAATAAAAATAAAAACATATGGAAAATCCGTATGAAAAATATCTATTAGATAACTCATAAACGAGCCCAAAAAGGGGGGAAAAAGTTACCATTGATTGACTCTCACTCTGTAACTATGTTGAAAAAAAAAAGAAAAAGAAAAAAAGAAAAAAAAAACGAAGTGCTTTTAGCAATAAACCTCAAGAAAAAGCCCCCACACTTTTCAGATAAGAAAATACTTCCGAATATATGGTTGAGTTAACAATGGCTTAATGCTCATCCCTCTACACGTTGCTGCCATTTTAATGGTACTTTGAGTTTCCATCTATTTAAAGCCCTTTCCTTTTTTATAATATTCGTTCATGAAGGTTCAAAGGCTTTAATTTGTTCTTCTCCTGTTAGCTTTTTTTGTGGAGACCATTTTGTGCATGGTTTATATGGACATGTTTGTGTTATTTTTCTTTGGAGTCCCACAATTACTACGTTGTGTTCGGGAGATGGGTTTGTGTTTGTTTTGTCTTGAAGAGATTAGGGTATTTGGTTTCTTGATTGCAGTGTAATTAGATCGATTTAGTGCTCTGTATTTCTGTCATGAAGACTTGTTTGTGTGAATCTTGGAGTTCTTGATTATTATGTGAAAAAGATTGAATCTTTGAGTAGTAAAATTGCTGTCTTTCTTGTTTTCTTGGTTTATTATGACTTGTTAACTCTCTTGGATTTTACAGTTGAATTCAAAGCACTCTGTGTCTGAACTCTGAAGTCCTTTGCATTGTGGGGAATTTTGCTTTTCGGCCTTTCGCAAAACCCAATTTTCCTTTCGTTTTTCGCCACGTTTTTTTTTGGCCCTATTTCTTGATTTCATCTTCTTGTTCCTCATAAATGTGAAATGCCTTTTTTTTCGTCACAGTGACCTCAAATCGAGACTTTCCAGAAAGATAAATGCATGGAACATCAAAGGGAAGCTATGACACTCTCGAGCACAGCTTCTTACTACGTGCAGGAGCCCACACTATCAAATTCCACTGTGCATTTCCAGTCGAACACTGGGCCCAGCTTAAACGTACCACCACCATCAATGCCCTCTGGTCATGGAGTTGAAGTGGGCACGGTAACTATGCAGCAAGCCCAGCCCGTTAGGAGGAAACGAGGAAGGCCTCGTAAATATGG